ACTACAAAAAGATCCTAAAGACTACAAGTAGACAGAAACTACAAAAAGATCCTAAAGACTACAAATAGGCAGAAAGGAACTACAAAAAGATCCTAAAGACTACAAGTAGGCAGAAAGGACTAAACAAGAACACTGCAAAAAATATATTCTTGAATAGAAGCTCTGCAGCCTCGTCTACACCACTAGGGGGAGCTACAGGACAAGTTTATTTCTGACTACAAGGGGACCTGAAGGGGAGGTGTGTGTCCTCATTTAAGCTTCATGAATAAAGAATCTGAAAATAACCGAGAGGAGCGCCCTGTGCTGCTGAATATTCACGCTCTCGTTAGCTTTGATCTCTCGCCGCTCTCAGCGCTTGCTCTCCTGATCGTCCTCGATGTTTTTTTTTCACTCGCTTGTTGACACTTTTCTTTCTCTTTTTCTTTCTCTCCCTCTTTGTTCCTCTCTGAGCACAGCTGCAGCACAGACTGAGACTCACACCGATGACTAATTTAAATCAACTGAATTAAACATGGAGGAGTCAGGCTGCGAGTCACAGAGGGAACAACCGCCTCCTCAAATACTTAGAGAGGATATTCAGTTTGTAAGACAGCTGTTAAAAAAGACTGAAACACAGTCCACAGGCAGGACTAAGACATTAAATCGTTTCATAGACAGTTTATAACAAGTGGACTGACCCACAGTGATGTCATCAAGCAATTTGAGCCTCAAGTTTTTGCACTCTGGCCGACGCCATGTTGGTTTTTTGAAGCCAGAGGTGACCCTATGTGGAGGTCAGGATCTGTAAATACTTTATTTATTAGTCTTACAGTTATTCAAAAGTTATGGAAAAGAAAAAAAACCATGGAGCTCTGTGGAGGTTGACTCAGTACGGCCAGGCAGCCTCTAGTGGACAAAAGAGGAACTGCAGTTTTTTTGGCACACAGAGTTGGCTTCACTTCTAGACTCAGAGGTTTTTAAATTCAAACACAAATGAATTAAAAGCATTCAATCTGACAAACAATTATCTTTGCATGTGTCAACAGCCACATGTGTGATGTCATAGTGATGTCATCAGGGTCATCTCAGCCTGAAGTTATTATCAGTGTCAGAAAGTTATTAATAAAACCTCTGAGGTGAAATGGAGCCGATTAATAAATCTTAAATCTGCAAACTAACATCACGGGAACTAAAACATGAAAGCTAACAGTCATATCAGCTGTCAGGACAGCAATCTAAGGGGGCGGAGCTACAGGAGGTCAGCACAACACTAACCACATCTACACTCACTTTGTTCACATACGGCTTCCAGCGATACGCCTTAACCTCCCACTGCTGCAGGACACACACACACACACACACACACACACACACACACACACACACACACACACACACTCAGTATAACTGAACTCAAATCATCACATGATCTGTTTTTAACCTGAGGGGCGTACACATCATATCGTCTTCTGTAACATATCTTATCACTGAACATGACGTATCGTGCGGTGACCTTCTCCTGTGACCCCGCCCCCTCGATGAATTCACTGACAGGTGATCTTTAAATAAACTCCTCCTCTCTGAAGATGTTTTCACTCATGCACTCCTGAACATTTTGGGATTCAGGAGGACTGCTCCTCACAGCGGGAGACTCTCCCTGACAGACATGAGGGGGCGGGGCCTCATGAGGTAAGACGTGGACGAAGTGGCGGGCACTAAGCGGAGCCCGCTCTCATTAAAACGTTAAACACTTTGTAAGGTTTCCTGATTCCATATTTACAGTAACGATAAATCGACAGCGATGAGGTGAGCGGAAAGCGTCAGACGTACCGTGGAGTCTCGTCGTTCCTCCAGAGGACTGTCTTTAGGCGTCAGGGTCACAGCGAGCTCCAGAGAGCCCAGATCCTGATCCGGGTGATGAGGATCCTTCAGGACCAGAGTGACTGGGATCATCCTGAAACGGGAGACCAGGCACAAACCGCGAGAAAAGATGTTAAATGTTTACAGGAATAAAATCAAATTCATCACAAGACCATGAATATAAGGAAGCAGTCCTCCTTCAAATTCTGCATGAATCTTGTGAAGGTTCAGATTTACCTCTGCTGCTCCAGAGACTCCAGGTAAAGGTGAGCAGAGCCCATGAAGTCATCCTGGAGGCCGAAGTCATAATCAAACACCTGCAGAGAAAACAAAGCTCCTCTGACTCTCGTGTTCAGGAAGAGGAAAAGCTCTGAGCGTGTTCCTGAGTCTTTACCTTCACATAGAGAGGCTCACTCAGACAGTCCAGGACTAACGTGGTCTTCTCCTCCCACACCGGGTTCAAGTTCTTGTGGATGGTTTTGCTTCTGAACACCTCTTTACCAGCGAGCTTAAACTTTACGTACGGGTCACTTGTGCCTAAAGGGTTAAATGTTTTTGTCACAGATTAATGAAAAGGTCATCTTCACCCAAAGTACACTCATCGTAGCCAGAAAATATTATCTACAGGGGGTGGGGACCTGGAATACAAACATGCTGAAAACTACAAAGGAACACAAAAGAACTACAAAAAGATCCTAAAGACTACAAATAGACACAAACTACAAAAAGATCCTAAAGACTACAAATAGACACAAACTACAAAAAGATCCTAAAGACTACAAATAGACAGAAAAGAACTACAAAAAGATCCTAAAGACTACAAATATAGAGAAACTACAAAATGATCCTAAAGACTAAAAATAGACAAAATGAAACTACAAAAAATAATAAAAACTACACAAATATAGGAACTACAAAACACCCTAAAGACTACAAATGGACACAGATGAAGCACAAAAAGATCCCAAAGACTGCAAATACACACAATGAAACTACAAAAAGACTTGAGCACAAAGAACAGAGATGCTTAAAACTTTAAAGAGAAGCAAAACTACAGAAATATGAATATCTGGTTCCTGAAAAAACTTCCCGTGCTGCATTAAAGAACGTTAGACAGAGAAAGTGATTGTACCTCCTCGGTCTCTGACAGCCAGATTGTTTCCTCTCTTCAGCTCGATCTCCAGTTTGTACATCCCCGAGCTCAGGACGGATCTGTCAGCGGCGACCCCAGAGGATGGAGCGCCGATACCCTGTCAGGAGGAAAATAAGGATTTAATATGAAACCTGAGATCAGTCACCGTGTGCCCACAAGCCACAAGTCGCACTCACCAACATCTCTGAGAGAGATAAAAAGCTGTTTGAAAACGCCTCACTTCTTTCTCCTCTGTGTCTGCACCCACGCTGCTACCTCTGACTGAAGTGTCTAATTCAGCTCAGTAACCGTCCCAGGGGTGACCACAGACAGGAAATTACACCAGAGTAGCTTCCTCCCATCAGAGCCGAGTGTAGAGAGGATTGTTTTTGATTATTTCTGTAAAACTCTTCACTTCCTCTGCAGCAGCATCAACTCCGCTGTCGCATTGCAGACACCCAACATGCATGTAAGGGAGGATTTCTAAACATCAGGAGAGAGGTGTCGTTATATTTCAACAGGCAGAAATCATCCAGAACTTCCTCCATCATTAACGGATCTATATGAAAGATTTATGTCAGCAGGTTTCAGGAGGGGGCCCGAGTCAGACGCGCAGTTTGAAGTCACAGCGACAGTTAATCAAACAATGAGAAAAACATGATATATGATGATAAAGTGAGATTATATAACTGCAAAACCTCTGCAAAGAGCACAAGAAAATCTCTGAAACAGAACCCAGAGACTTAAAGTAACTACGATGGAGACACAAAATGACAAGAAAGAGAAAGATACAAAAAAAAAGATGCAGAGTCTCTACAAAAACATGCAAAGTTACAGTAAAAGGAGATCATGAAAGTGTGTTTTAATCTGCAGAGGGAAACAAAAACCAGAGTCAGACCGATTCATCAGCCAGCCGATATTAGCATATCCAGTGACAGTCGGCTAATTTAATCACAGATATTACTCGATTTATTCACCAGTCAAATATCATATAATTTGGGTTTCATTGCATCACACTAGCAGTTCTCTGTCACCAGCAGAGGGCGCTATATGGATTATAACAATCATCATCACTCTGCAGAGTGTCGAGTGGTGATGCACGTTCATGCTCAGTTACTTTCCAGCTGAGTGATCATCTCGTCTTCATTATAAATCTTTTCCACAAGTGTTTGATAACTGAGGGATCAACACGTTTATCTGTCTATCGGCCGATATATCGGTATCACATTTATTCTCTCTTTTGATATCGGCCCTAAAAATCCCATATCCGTCGGGGCCCTGGACAAAACCAGAAAAGAGAACTTTTTAGGGACATGAAAAACTACAAAGTCAGATAAAAAGGTTGAAGAAAGACAAAAAGGTGCAAAGTTACACTAAAGAGGAGCAAAATCATCATGAAGAGGTGATTTAAAACTGCAAAGGCAAACAAATCCACTGGAAAAAATGAGACTAAACACCTCATGTGCATGAAAAACAGAACTTTAAGAGAGCATCATAGACTCGAAAACGACCACAATGGAGTTGTTACCGTGAAGACACGTAAAATCTGACTGCAGGGTGATTTATGATGATGATATATTGTTCTGTTTGTGTTCGCAGCGGCCGTTCATCAAACATTCATCTCTTTTTTCTTAAAGCAGGAGGGGCGTCTCTGCTGGGGCCGCCGCCACTTCCTGTCCACACAGACGGATCCACTCACAGACGCTCCGATCGATACGGGGATGATGTGATGATAGAACGAGATGAAAAGAGGGCCCTCACTTCCCCCGTGTTTATCACAGCTCACACGTCCACAGAGGAAACCACTCGGGGTCAATGCGATCCAATGTTAATGGTTGCCCAGTTCAGACCGCCGTTTCAAGCCAGCGCTGTGTGTGTGTGTGTGCGTATGTCTGACTGTGTGTGTATGTGGCACCTCGGCAGTGCTCAGGAATTGACCTGACACCTCTCCACTTACTGTTCTGAGTTCCCATCAGACTGATCTACTGCCACCTCAGATTAGCATTTTCCATTCTGTGTTAGCATCAAGCTAACAAACTAAGACCTACATCCTGGTCCATATGTAACAGCTGTAACCTGAACATGATGAAAGTTTTTACAAACGTATCGGTGACTTTAGGCAGCTAAAAGTTTCAAACAGTAAAGTGTCACTGTCAGGTTTCAAAGAAGTGAACGAGATCAGGAGGAGTACTCACTCAGAGCGCCGTCTCTGCTGTCGCCGTGTCAGAAACGTCCCGAGTCCCACATCGAGAACAAACCTTCAGTTTGTTTAGTGAAATATCAGACAAAGTTTTCTCTCCAGGGCTCAAACTGATGTTTGAATAAGAGATTTCAAAGGAACACGACAATACACTCAAAGTGCAGACTGGTTTTTATAAGAGGTCAAAGGTCACAAAGGTCTTAAACTCCTGCTGGTTCACTCTTTAACAATGTGTCGGATTTCATGTCATGTTGTTGTTATTGTTTTGATTGAGAGCCCCCTGGTGGCAGAGTTTACACACTGTGCCTTTAATAAGTCGACTGCTGATTTCTAACTTTTCCTCTTCAGATAACTGAAGATGTTTTAGCGTCGTGGTGCAGTTCATACTTCATGAGCGTGTTAACATCGTGTTTTTTCTCCTTTCTTTCCATCGTTATGTTTTCATGAGTGATGTCATTCATATCCCTGATGTTGTGCCCATGTGTCGATAAGAGAGAGAGAGAGGAGATCCTGAGTGGAGGGGTAAAGAGAAACAGGCTGATATCTGTTCTGAGGTCAGCTCCTCAGAGATCACACTCACACACGTTATGAAACACACTCTCGTTTCCTGACAGACTTTGAAGTGTGCCAAGTTCTGCTCGGAGATTTTGCAAAGCTGCAGGAAATTCCAGCGAGCCGTTTAACAGAGAGCGGCCTAATAAAACCAGCGGTGAGGACTTCCTGTGTAACACCAGCAGCTCTTTACTGCAGGCGGAGGATTGTTCAAAACGTTATGCATAGCCTCCGCCCTCTGCTGGAGGATCTGACAAGTGGGCTAAATCCAGTTCAGACATTACGTGTTGAATAAGGAGATGAAGGCTGCAGGTGGAGGCGGAGAGGATGACAGGTTCCAGGTCAGCTTTACACAACTGAACCCACAAAACCAATTACCATTGAATAAAGCTGCTAGCGTTAACCGCTAATTGTTGAATTACAAGTCAAAGAGACGAGGAGAGACATGAGTATGGAGAGGAGCGATCCCATGATGCATCAGGGTCCCAGATTCAGCCTCCTTTACGCTTTAAGACCATTTAAAGTCACAGTGTTTTATTTGTTTTATTCAGACGTTGTTAAGTCCTTAAATGATGGCTTTCATGTTTTTCTATTTTGGTTTTATGAGTTATAAGTTTATTATTTTCAGAGCTCTTATTAAAGTGAAAAAAAGTGTTTTAACCTCGCTGTGAAAGTACTCACCTGGCCCGTGTCCACCTGGCCGTGATCGGGTGCAATTGGCTAAAAAGTTGAAAGATTTTCAATTTTCAACGCTCATAAAAAAGACGCCTGGCACTTTTTTCACCAGACTGCCTCCTGCTGCTGCAAACGCTCTCTACTCATTGAAAACAATAGAAACAAGACGCCAGGTGGACACGAGGCCAAATAAAAAATGATTAAACATGAGGGCGCAGTATGTCATGTCACCACTAGGGGGCTCACAACCAAAACAATAACAAAAGGTCATAGGCCGTTTTGGAAACCGCCTTCTATACTAGAAGTTCAAACTGATTTGCAGTATGTGAAACAAATGTGAGATACGCAGCATCAGACCGATTCCCACAATGCAAAGCGGCAGGTCAGAGATGGAAAAGACGGTCAGCAGCGTCCAATCATATCAGAGTAAATAATCCCAATCAGATCAAACCACACAAAGATACCACCAGTTATCTTTGTTGATTCTCTAAATCATGAAAATCCAAATTAATCTCTCATCATCTTTTTTCAGACTGTAAGAGGACGCTACCCTGTGGCGGTGTTTGGCGTCAGCTGGGCTGTTGTTTACTTCCTCATTCAAAGACCACAAACCAGTTTAGCCGGGTCCGGTGTACTGCAGAGTAACCACAGACTGGAGGTCAGAGGTCAGACTACTGATGAACGTGGTACGTACTGCATACTATGTTTGATAGTAGTTTGTAGTGGGCAGATTTGAAAACAGCCACAGTTTGAAGACAACCTGATGCATCATGGGAGTTGCTGTTTTTTAAAGTGAAAAAAAGCACCACAGCAAATGAGAATCTCTCTGACACTTCTCAGGTTTCAACACAAATTAAAATGTGTCACATTAGTTTCTCCCCCCCCCATTATTGTTGACAAAGCTGGAAGCAGCAGTTGGGGTGGCAGTAGCTCAGTCTGTAGGGACTTGGTTTGGGAACCAGGGGCACCGGTTCAAGTCCCAGTGCAGACCAAATATAGAAGTTGGTCTGGTAGCTGGAGAGGTGCCAGATCATCTCCCGAGCACCACTGAGGTGCCCCTGAGCAAGGCACCAAACCCCCTCCCCACCACCAGCTCAGGAGTGCCCACTGTGGGCCACCCTGACACTCTGACATCTGTCCCTTAGTGCATGTTCAGAGGATCCTGTTTGTGTGCATGTGTGTATATTTCAGCCTATGTGTGTGTTCATGACTACAGAGTGTAAAAACAGAAGTTTCCTCTTGCAGGGATCAATAAAGTAAATCTTAAATCAGAAGTCCCACCCTTTCTTGATTATTATTGGTCGGTGAGAGAGAAGTGACACTGAAGAGTGTGGTGGTGTTTCAAAAGATTGAACAGCTGACGCCGAAGGTCCTGAGCCCTGAAAACGCTGATTTCATTTTTTAAAAGATTTAATTTAATTTTTTCATTTAATTCAATGACTGATTTAATGATCCGTCTCCAAAAGGCAGCGAGCGATGAAGAATCGTTCTGAAATGTTGAACTATTTATTTTCATATCGGAGGTTTCTGACACGGTGGAGGTATTTTTTTATCTCATTTATTAAAAAGAGAGCGAGAAGAAAAAGTGTACCATGATGACTCTCTCTTGAATCTGTTGTTTTGAAGCTGTAAACGAGCCGCTCTGTGCAGAGAGAGTCTCCAAAGTGATCCACATTTATTCTCTGGACGGA